GATTTATATAAAATTAAATTTTATACAGCTTATGAACAGAAAATAATTATTTTCTGAAAAGTTAATGAAAATAAAATACGTTTGTAAAAACATGCGAATTAATATTTTGTGTCTACTCCCRGGGTAATTTTTCTACTAGAGAGTTAAAAATTCCTTTAACTGATCTCGATATTGAAATGATTGCCTTTGTGTACTACCCCCTTGTCTTGGAAATTATGATAAACTGTTGTATCAACTACTTCACTGGTATGAATTTCACTGTTGTCTTGTTTATATAATTACGCGAAATACATTTCTTCATTACTATTTTATCTGCATTTTTTGGTAACGATTTTAATCGTCTGCCATTGTATATTTTATAAAATTTTGCTGTTAAATGATCAGCTTCGACTTTTTTTCTAGCTCTTGATGGACGTTCATTAATTATATTTTTTAAATATAATATATTATTTAATAAGTACCTACACTATTCGTTTGTGATAACTGATGAGTGACTACATATTTTGACGGAAGATGACGAACGACGACTGTGAAGTATCAATAGCTGAACGATTTATGGTGCCGTTAGGTTTTGTGACGGTCTTTGCCGTAACACGGTAAACCTGTCGAGACAATTATTTAGAGTTAGAAAAAAATATTTAATCAATAACAAAATGTGTAAGATAATAATAGTTATTAAAATAAAGTGTTTTTGGTTTTAAAACTGTAGGTATGAAGGTAAAGGTAAAGGTAAAGGCAAAGATAATAATATAATATAATATATTTAACTAACTTAAGTTGGTAACCGATTTATTATTTATTACACTACCTTTTTTTTTTTTTAATTATTATTTTTTATTCCGGGATAGTCGAATTGCACTTATTACCCTAAACAAATGGTCGAATTGCATTCGGGTAAAAACCAGATAGTGGTCTAACTGCACTTTGGCTCAAAAAGTATTTCAATAAAATTATCATGCATTTGAAGCGGATAGGGCTAACACTCATTTTTCTTCCCATTTACAGGCTTAGGACTGACAATGATTTTAATCATTGGTGGTTAAAAATGATTGTTTTAAACATTACATTATGTTAATTATATATATTTACATTATAATTATTATATTATACATCATGTTATATTATATTATACTATACATATTATTACTATTATCAAACATTTTTTTTTWAATCGTCAAATTTAATTATTGTCATTATTATATATATATTTTTTGTCATTTCGATCATTTTTTGTAGTAATGACTAACTGCAGTATTCAAAAATTCTAGCCTGGTAATACGCTTTTGAGTATATAAGTCAATATATTTTTTAATGTTATTTATTTTTTTCTGGTACCGTGTTGTCGATGGTCTTGTGTCAGTATTCTGCATTAAAATGTAGGAATCGATTTGTAATTGTGTTAAAACATCAATGAAAACAAATAAGTATATTTGGATGGGGTGATGAAAATAATTTAGGTATTGAACTTAGCGTGGAAAGCCTCACATTTGAGCTTAAAATATAATATAATATAAAGTATAATATAATAATTATAGGAAAATGAGTGTTAACTAAATGTTTAACCCCTTCAAATGCATGATAATTTTATTGAAATACTTTTGAGCCCAAGCGCAGTTCGACCACTACC